CCTCTTCAGTAGTAAGGAGCAATGAAGCGAAAAGTCTGTAGCACCATCACTTGAATTCCAACAACGGTAGTGTAAGCAGTCAACAACAGCTGGCTGTACAGTAATCATAGTTGCCAACTTGGTGCTTTAAGCACTAGATTTAGTGCTTTTGGAAAATTAAAACGCCAAAAAAAAACGGTTTAGTGCCTAGTGCCCTTTTTAGTGCTTTTTTCTGCACTAAAATTTCTGAATTTACAAGAATCTACAAATTTAAATGCACTAAAATGCAAACCATGATTGATAAAAAGATGAAGTTGCAAACCCACGTTCTTGCGTTCTTGTTAAATTGTATTCGCGTTCAAAATGCTAGCACGCAGATAAGTTAAGTGTTTATTTTTTTATTTTCTTGATTATTGATAGATTACACAGTCCGAAAAATTTTAACTTTTTTTGCCACCTCAGTTCATCGGTTTTTAAATTTTTCGTTGCTGAACCCAAATCTGGCTGCAGAATTTCTCTATCACGTCAGAATTTTGAGATATCCTAACCTCTAAGTGTAAAAACACGGTTTATTATAAAAGAAAAAATTGTTTCGCTCATTTCTACTTAGGGTATCATTAAGTATTACTCTTCCCCTTCAAAATTCAATTTCATTTGTTGCGATTCGATTGTTCTTTCTCCAGATGTACCAGTTTTAATGTGCAGTACTTCGGTATTACTTCGTAAGCATGAATGTGTAATTATTTATACATGTAAATATTGTTTATTTTTTTACTTTTGTTTACCACAAACTCTTATAAAAGAAAGTATCCTTTGATTAAAAAAGAATTTAGTGCTTTTAGTGCGGTAAAACGCTCTTTTTTCCAAGGTCTGGTGCTTTTTGAAATTCAAAAGTTGGCAACACTGACAGTAATAGTTTGTTAACTTGAGTAACAGCTGAATGATAACCAAGCGGACTGGGGCAAGTTAAACTAAGAAAGTCAGTAAAGTTTCGCTTCATATGCAGGCAAGCTGGCTATACCGAATACAAAAAAAAAAAATTATTTAAGAAAAATGCCGAATTGGTTGCAAAAATGTTAAATAGGGGTAGTTTTTACATAGATAGAATTTATGCAAAAATCTTCTTAATGATTACTTTGTGCTTCCTGAGTTATATGGATTATTATATTTGGAAGGAAAGCTCTATTGATTTCTGATACCGTCAGTTAAGAGAAGGTAAAACAGAACAAACGGTCTGGTCTTTTCTATGGCTGCTTGCTTGCGTTTGGCTCTAAAAGGAATCGAGGCTTTATGCTGCCCAACGAAATATATGCGAGCTTTAAAGTATTAACTCGACACATTAATTTTGGAAGATAATTTTAAAATTTATCATATATTTTTTTTTGTTATTTAAAAACTAGCCATACTTTTCGGGCCATCTAAAAACTTGACATATATTTTTGATAATTTCAAAACTAGACATAAATCTGTGGTAGTTTAAAAGAAGATAATAATTTCTGGTTATTTAAAAGCTGGATAAAAAAATATCTTATAACATATATATATTTTTTTTTCTTTGGTCACCTTAAGCCCGAACATAATTTTTAAACAATTTGAAAATTGGACATCATATTCTAAAACGGTTTGGCATATTACGTCGTTAGTCGTTTTCTGCATTTTATATATTTTTCTATCTACGCTTTTCAAAAAATTACGTTTTTTTATTTGTTCAGGGACCCCTAATTTATGTTCTATGTTTAAAGAGCAAAATATTTGTATACATTATTTTAAACACCAGTTTTGTGTGTCCGTAACTCCAGTTTTTAAATAGAAATTTAAAAAATTAAAATGGATTTTTGGTAATTTAAAAGGCGGGCATAATATTTTTGTCATTTGAAGAATGTATATTGGGTTATGTATAAAATGACCGCAGTTATAAATGTTTAAAATACCGCCGACTCCTCTAAAAAAATTTTAAGAACGCTTCATTTCAGAAATAGGTTGATGAATCTCAGAAATTGATTGAAGAACGAATTACGTACTATACGCAGACCGAAATATAGTACAATACTATATATTATAGTATGGTTGGCAACCCTAGTTATATCTGCAAAACCTTAGTTGCTAGAGCACTTTAAAGACTCAAAATTTACCCCAAGATAAGCCAATATTTACCGTAGTTTCTACGACATAAACCGAACTGATTACGTGCAAAAAGGCATCTGGAAATAAACCTGCAATTTTGTCTTTAAAACGCCGCATTTTTCTTTGAAATCGCTTCCTTAGTTCTCCTGCAATGAGCGTTTTTGTGAAACTCCAAAAATTACAACTACAATATTTGTGCATAGCATCAGTATTGCCTGGTCATTGAAGAGAGAAGTCGTCAGTTTCGTTCCCAAAAATCGTCATTTGCTTGTAAAAATTGTCAATATATAAAAAATTTTAATAAACGGAACCAGGAAGCTCTTTTGATTTTTGTTTAATTTATTCTAGCTTCTGTTTTCTATACGCAAAAATACCTTTTTTTGGAATTTTTAAAATTCGCATTATTTTTAACAAAAATAGTTTTAATTGCAATAAAATCACATTTTCATCTTCATTTTTTTTTTTTTTTGAAAGTGTAACTTAACTATAAGCATCAAAAACTGTTCATACTTACAATATTGCTAAAGAACTTATTCATAATTCCCTTCGCTCAATAAAATATGAACCAGTACAAAACGAGGCAACACAAAAATTACGAATTTGACCGCCAAAAACTACACAAATAGTGATGAAACAAAGAAGAAAACTACTTATCGATAACTACTATTAGTGCTGCCGCATGATATAATTTCGATACGACAATTATGTATTAGAAGAAATGGTAAACTATCAACAAGTGTTTACACTGCAACTTTTAGTTGGCTGTGTAACTATCTTCAAAGCTCAGAACCAGCTAAATTTGCACATAAAGACATTGGATCACAGAAATCGTCAAATCGTCATCTTGGCATGACGGCATGGCATTCATTTCGAAACGTAAGACGTATTCTACGTGAAAAAACATTGACGTGTTTCAAGAAAGCATCCGATTTCCCTTAATCTGACTACAACCCTTGCTGTACCAGCTCTGCCTACGATGCATAACGTTAAGAAATAGAGAGGGAGTGGTTCGAACTGAATTCAATGAATACGACCACTGTATCCTCGCTCAAAGACTGCATTAAGCATAATGAGCTTAACTATGCTTTCAAAAGGCCAGGAAATGCTCCCTGCAGGAGTTGAGAGTCAATCGTAGGCACTTGACTCTGTCGGAAAATTTCTGTTATTGCAGGAAGAGTGGCATGGCGTACTCTTACGAAATACCACGAAAGATATAAGACTGCAGATGCAGCATTGCAAACTGCAGACTCAACAAAACTAAACAGAGATTAAATTTGACACGTGTTCCGGTACTTGAAAGGTACGCAAGCAAACATTTTGCTGCTATCTATGCATTTATGTACATATTTCGGTGTGTAAAATATCGAGCCCTAACCGCCAAAATAACGTAAGCGACATTTTTTTTTTAATTTTCTTTTTGATGCAGAAATGTATCTAGATGCTCTAGGAATATTTCTGCATCAAAAAGAAAATTTTGAAAAAAATGTCGCTTACGTTATTTTGGCGGTTAGGGCTCGATATTGTTGCTTAGTAAGGACAAAAGAGTTAAGTTTAGCCACACCTACGGCTGAATTATTTGGTCTCTAAACTATCAAATACTGTTGATTTTTTTTACGAAAATTCTTAATTGGCAAAATTTATATGTATGTGTCTCCTAACAAAAAAAAAACGACTATAAACCAGCCCTTGGAACGTGTGTTTAACTCAAGAGCATAAACGCTGATTATTGGGCCCTGCAAAGGCTGTATGCACATAAATATGTACATATTGATGCTTCTGGAATGAAACAAATTTACAAAGAAAGAAAATCGAACAATTTGTAAATTTTTTGAAATTTTAGATACCAGAAGCAACAGCAAAATACACGTTTTTTTTTTTTTTGCTGTTCATATGCCTTGTACCACAGCATATTTTCTCCATCTGTGCGAGTACAAAGCTTCCATAATCGTGCTTATAAATTTTTTAAATACATTTTTCCTAAGGTGTTGGAAAATATAGCTTTTCAAATTTCAGCAACCGAAAATTTGGCAAAATTCGCCATAATTTCTAAATAACAACTACTCTGAAAATAACGGATATAATTTCGGAAATTACCGTCTCTAATATATACCCCAAAAATATGCATAAATAATTGGGTAACACGTAGCTTCTTTTATTAGGTTTTTTCTTTCTATTTATTCGTAGGCACTTTAACAGAGAATGTCTGGCATGACTATTCCAAAATAAGAAAAAAATTAAATTTTTCCTCAATGGAGACAGAATTGCACAATTTATATTGCAATATGTAAAAAAATTAAATTACAAAACTTGAAATGTAAACAATCACTGTTTATGTTCTAACTGGCAAAAGTTGCAACTAATGCACAAATTGCAACATCGATCACGCTTACAACTTTAAAAGTGCAAATAATTCAAAAAAAAAACGTTGCTACGTGCAGCGCGCGTCAGAGATTGACGCAGGACTTTGTTAGTTAGTGAGCTTGTGAATTGGCAAGGACGCCGGGTATATGACCTTAAGTTGTACTCCTGCGGGTTATGACACCACTTCATTTAACAAAATCATTCCAATTCCAGTACAGCGTAATAATATTTAACTACAAACTTTGATTTTCCCTGCAGATATACTTCAAAATTTATTAATAAGTCACATCGCAAAACAAAACACTCATACACCGAAAGGGTTATTTTTGATGAATTTAATTAAGATCGATGTAGCTCCAAAACTTTAATTAGCTTCTTGCGCGTACAGCAGACTACCAGAAAGATTGGTACAAATGTGAGATCAAAGGCAAGCCATTGGCCTCCTTGTACTGGCATATGCACACAAATTTAAGGTTGTGTCAGACATTACATACATACGTATTTATAATAAAAATTCCAAACTAAAAGCCACTCACCTGATGTAGCGCTATGAAATCCTTTAAGTCGCGCCATTTGCTCTCATACAATGAGCGACGTGAATACATTCGTTGAATTATAGCCGTAACATTACCGAATACGACGGCATGCATTAATGCTGCAAAGAGAGGTTGACGTAGAACGGCAGAGATGGCACAGGGTAGGATTGAATGGAGTAAACAAACATAATGATGAGAAATGTAAGTTAAATAAATCTCAGTTAATTACAATTTAAATTTATGTGTAAATACATGTTAAGCGCCCATTCCGGCAAAATAAGCATTAAATTAGGGCTGTGCGACTATTCGATTACTCGAGCAAGTTGGTTAATCAATTATTCGGTTAATCAATTACTCGAGTAATCAAGATTTTGACTACTCAAAACGATGATTAATCGAGTTACTCGAAATATGATTACTCAAAAAAAATAACTTTGCTCGTTAAAAGAGTTTCCTTTGGAAAATGCTTATTTTCTTTTTTACATTCTGTATATGAACAAATTTTTCGTTTTCATTTTTGAAAACAGAAACGTTGTTTTCAAAGCATCAAGGAACTTTAACTTCTTTATACATATGTAAAGAGTTGAAATGTTGATTACTCATTTTACTCGAAATGTTGATTAATCATAAAGCAAATTACTCAAATATTTTTGTTTTTGGTTAATCAAAAATCTTGATTACTCGAGTAACTGAACTTTTGAGTAATCATAATTTCCAATTAATCGAATAATTGAGTTATTTACTTTATGATTAATTAAAATTTTGAGTAATCAATTAATCGCACAGCCCTAATATAAATCCATAAACAGGTGTTTTCACGCTCACAAATTCATAGCATACTTTCAGGCATTAATCAAAAACCTTTGTCGCATTCATGTGTGTATGTATGTTTTCGATTTATGCCGGCTTGCTGAATTTTCTCACACTTTTCTTTTCATCATACTTATATCTTACCTCCAATTAGCATCATAATTATGGAGAAGACCTTTTCCGCTGTCGTATTCGCTGACACATTGCCAAACCCCACCGATGTTAGGCTGGTGAAGGTGAAATAGAGCGCCGTTGAATAGGCTTCCGCATTGGTTATATTAGTTATGGGTATTTTCAAGCGCTCCGACAAAGCATGCATCCAACCTGTAAGAAAATTTCAATAGTTTTTTCAGTCCTAAATAATAAATATTGATGCAACAATTTTTTTTTAGTGTAATTCAAATTTTGTGAAGTACTGTGAAATCATTAACATTTGAACTTAAGTTCAAAGCAACTACGTGATGATACATATTATAGTAAAGGAAGACTAAAAGGGCTGTCTCGGGCTATTACCGTTTCGATTCTATTATCTAATGTATTTTAAAGTGCATCTCAATTTATTTTTTTAAATGGCAATTAGGGTACTCTGGGTATCATGGCCTCATAAAGGAACCCACAGAACATGTCTTTAACAAGAGACATGCTTCTGCTCGCAAAATAATTAAGGGTACAATCGATTTGTTAAAAAGCCGATTCCGATGTTTAAAAGGTTTGTTAGCCAACCTTATTTACGTTTACTATGCGCTACGTAACACTTGCCGCAGGCGTTGCATATCTACGATGAATGAAGAGGATGGCCACGATCTGGAAATGGCAAGTAGAAATGTTGAAGACGAGAGCGAAAATGATCATCAGGCGATTGTAGATGGAGGAGAAATGAGGGATGAAGTTGTCCGCAGTTTACGGGTGTAAATTTTTGAATTATTTAAACACATAGCGCCTCACAGAAGTATCCGTAATTTAGTTTTTTTCACAATATTCAAAATATTTTGCATCATCGTTTATTTTAGTTTTAAATAGTTTATTCTATAACAAAATTCATATAAATCAATTCTGCAAACTATGTACAAAATTCCCAACATTTAATCAAATGAAAAAAAAAAAATGAATCAAAACTTCACACATTTTATTCAGATATGTAAGTGTAAGCAGTCTTGTAGCTCATTCAATTTAGTATAACGTAGTGCAAGTTTCAAGTACCTAAAAGTAACCGTTGATTTTTTAGATTTTTTTTGTCGAGGCTTTAGCATATTTTTTTCAATATAAAATGCTTGTGAATTTTAGCACAATATAGAACTTTTCGATAACTACTCCGCATGCGCTGCACCGGAATCAAGAACAGGTCCGTTTCATTACGATCGTTTTCGCTTTGTTTGTCCAAGTAGTTCTTAAAGAGCAATTTTAAGATACGGATTTATCAAAGTATTTGGATACAGATTAGAGCAGTAACGACTTGTAAATTTCCTCAATATTATGAAAATTCCAAATAAAATATTTGGCTGACAAGCAGCATATATATATATATATTTGTGTTTAATTAGCCGATTACTTTTCACTCCGACTAGCCAAAGTGAAAACTTTTCAAATCGAAAAAATTTTGTCGGAATCGTAGTGCAGAACAGGGCTGAAAGTTATGTATGTATATCATTCTATAAATTTACTACAAGAAATAAGTCCAGTCGACAAAAAATTACATCTATATAAGTTCATCTTTCAATTGGGCAATATTTTTTTTCTGTAATCAAACTTTGCAGCACATTAAAAATTTAGTTGTTTGTCATTGAACATTTTCATTGAATTTCGTGCCAGAATCCAAAATTGGATTTATATAACCAATTACGTAATTTCGTCAACTAAGCACTTATGTACTTACACACATATGTGCCACAAGTATTAGGCTAACAGAAAAGTGACCCTCGCAGTCGAGAAGCAATTGTCTTTTAATCTAATTGACCATGTAATAAAAGGGATACATATTTAGTAAATCAAAATTGATACGCCGATAAATTTTCTTGCCTAATTGGACTGACCTATTGACCTTTCTTACGCATCATGTCACGCAACTACAAACGCACACGCATTCTATCATGCATGCGAATAGATCAAAGCACAGTGATGAATGAAGTCGGTTTCGAAGAATTGCTTACGTCCTCTAAAACCCATTTCAACTAAACTCACAGTTACATATTAACACACACACACACTGGCATATGTTTGCAAATGAATGATTAAGCAAGAAAGACAACTTTTGCCTGACAAGGCAAAGCAAAGCTGTTGCATATAATCCGATAGTGGAGACTATAGTAACATACAAAAAAAAACGAAATGTTAACAATGTCAAACTAAGAGAAATATGCTGTGTAAATAGAAAAACATACATACACATACATACGTATACATTTACAAGAACCCTGCGGTAAAACTTATAGGCAGTCTGGTAAAGCGCTAGTTCCGAACTATATATGTATTTCAGAACCATCTCTGAACTGGTACAAAACGGCTGCAGAGCGGGACAGTTGAAACTTGCGGTGTATGTGTACAAATTCTCACTTCTCGTACAATATGAAAGTAGCTCAGCGAGAAGACCTCCGACTCAAGCATCTTTGGTCGCGACTCGCGGGTTCAAATCGCGGTGGAGGCAGTTGTGAGTTTTCAGATTCAATGAATTTCGATTGTTGCGTGCCGCTTACAATACATTTTTAATTTTTTATTTTTTTTGTTTATAACATATATAAAAAACATGGACTCTGTAAAAGAAAAGACAAAAATGGAAAATGTTTTCTTATAAAAAAAAAGTAAGTGCGCCTGGGCCACACTGGAGAAGTGAAACTTACGTTACATATCTATTTTGTCTCAAAACCAATATAAGTACATACAAACATACATCTGCTTTTGCTTAAGGTTTTTTGTCTTTTTTTTATTTAGATCCCTCTACCTCTACCACTGTTCTGTTTTCCTTTATCCTAATTAGCTATATAGCAAAATCGATAGAAACAGCCAACAAATATCAATAACAAAACCGATTAAAATATCGATAACAACATCGATAAAAATATCCATAATCAAAACGATAAATAACCGATAACAAATCACTTACAAAACGTAAAAAAATCAATAAAAAATTCGATAACAATACCGATAACAAAATCAATAAACAATAGATAACAGAATCGACAGCAAAATCGATAAAAATATTGATAATAAATTCGATAAAAATATCGATAACAAAATCTAGAGCAATATAAATAACAAAGCCAATAACAATAGCGATAACAAATATCGATAACAAAATCGTTAAAAAAATCTATTACAAAATCGATAACACAATCGATGAAAATTTCTATTATTATATCGATAAGTTCTGAAGATGTCGATTGCAAAATCAATAACAATATCACTAAAAAATTCGATAAAAATATCGATTATTTTATCGATAAATTCCGAGAATTCAGAAAATCCCTAAAATCCGAAAATAGTTTACTGATTGAGTCTCTGTGTCTCCGTCTATATCCTTTTCTCTATAATTGCCTTTATTTTAATCATTCTTCCTCTATATTCATCTTTACTTTTATCGGTATCCTCAACTTTTTCTTTATATTGAGCTATGTTTTTGCCTTTATATTTATTATTTTCTTCACCTACATATTTCTCTTATATAAGTAAAGTGTTTAAATTTGCCTTGATCTTCATTTTTGTCTTTATCTTTACGCATCTTTGTTATTACCTTTGCCTTTGTCCTTTTCTTCATGTATGTACGTACTCACCTTTGCTTTCATTCCTGTATTGTTTTTTTTTAAGTGTTATTCGTTAATCTTTTATTAGCAAGTTTTTGTTAAATTGAACCCATATGCATTTACACAAGAAGTATTTCTTTAAGCCACAACCATTTCCGCTGCACCATTTCCGAGTGCAATTTCCATTGAATTTGCCAATTTACTCCCAACCAACCAACCGCCGGTAAAGAAGTTTCACTTCAAAAACCGTTCAAAACGCAACCGGTTAAAAACTAGAAGCAAAGTAATGCACTGCGCGGCATTTGCAACGGCCAATGATACCGCCGTGTAAAACTGGCCAGTTGAAAGCATTGCTAGTTCTACGCTAGTTCTGAGCTAGTCAGATTTTCTGCAGGGAATACAAGCATTGTTGGTTTACCCAAACCACAAGCATGGATAGATATACATACACACTATGCCATAGAAAGAAATGTCAACCAGGAAACAGCATCGTCAGCGGATCATGGCAAAGCAACAGCTCAATGTCAGTAAACAACCAAGCATAGAGCTCAATGCAACGGAGAGTAAAGCGGGTTAGATTAAAACGAACGCACATTTGTAATACATATATACAAACAAATATTTGTAGTCGTTTAGTTTTAGTGTATACTGTAACGAGAGGAACTGCTTAGGAACACAAGGAAATTGCTTATAAGTCTCCGCTTCCTGCCAACGCACATAGCCTTATTTGCACTCGTAAATAGGTATGAGCGAGGGCTTGTAAATATGTTTGTGCTGTCAATTGATCGATTGTATCCAATGGCAGTAGACAAGCAACCAGCCAGTAAGGATAACTTAAAAAAAAATGCAGATGAAATGGGAGAAGAGATACTAAATATTTATGCTATTTGTTTAATTTAAAATATCCGTGCACTTTTTTAGCAGCTTTACAAAATAAATTTTATGACTAATTTTTTGCTTTTCAAGCATTAGCAATTAGGCATTTAAGATAGGTTGGTACTGAAAATAATACAGTACTGGTACAAATATCGATCGGAATAACATAAATATTTTTCAATAAAAATAAACACCAACAACAATGGAAGGCTTTTAATGTAGGCTACCAACTCCAAGGGCATTTTGGACTGGTAAATATTACTAACTACGATCTTTTGTTTTAATGCGCTTACCGTACATTTGAATCACTTGATGATTGACAACAATTTTTTTAGCACACAATCGAATATTCGCTACTTAGCTACTTATTTATATACATATGCATGTAGTTAGTTGCTAATGAGAATTTAGTGTTGGTATTGCTAGCATTTTCTGCAAAGTTTACAATTTCATTTTAGTTAGTTACTAACCAGCTTATCACTTTTGAGGTGAAACGCCGGTATATGCCGAAAATGGGCACATCCGGCGAAAGCAGGTAATAAGTAGCAACCACTCATCCATCCAGCCTTGTTACTAAGATTACTTGTAATTGAAAATGTGTCATGGCAGCAAAGTCGATGCGTAAAGTGTGATTGACTTTTAATTAGTTTGCTTAGAGATATGGTATGAACTTTGTTGTGTTATATGCATTTGCAAAGTTTTTGTATAGACCGC